TGGCAAATAATGGCAAGGACTAACTTTTTATATCCAAAATCTTTACGGAAATATACAATTAAGCCACCATGACCTGGATCGTGCTGCCTAACATAGTCAACATACCAGAACCCAGGTGGCATAGCCAACCGAACTGAATTATTACCAACCACATGCCAAGTCTCAGTAAGCACCAAGATATCAAGCCCATCACATATCAATCCATGAATACCATTCACCTTAGACGCAATTGATCTCACATTCAACAACCCAATCACCACTTTGTTAATTTTAGTTTTACCATCAATAACATTTCTCCACGAAGCACAAGAATTGTTTTTTACCAACCCAATTAAACCATATATAGAACCACACCTATCATTTGCTAGTTTAATTTTGTGTCCTTCTGAAACCACACTATTTTCCACCTTCCAACCTCTCCTATCACTCGATATAAAAAACCTTGCTTGCAACCCTCCTCCGCCTCCTTGGCTTCTTTGAGCAACTTTTTAAGTACAGCTCTTTGATCGATTTAATCAAAATTGGTCTAATAGCGTTGTCATTTTTTTTTGCCCAACCTCATCATTTTCAGAACATTTTTTTCTCCGCATACCCCTTCAGTCAAATGATCCAATATTTGGCAGACTCTTGCATTGTCGTCTGATCCTTCCTTCAAATTGAACATTATTATATTAGCTTCTCTTTCCTTATTATCGACGACATCCTGCAACTTTTTTTGAACAATTTTCACGTCCTGATTAATTGATTGAACGCCTTTTTTCATCTCACCACTAACGACACTGGCAAATGACCTATTTAATTCAGACTTCAAACTAGCAATCTCACCAGATAGCTTGGCACCAGATATATCTATATGCGTAAGTTTGCTTTCATTTCCATCAATAGCGGCTCTAATTGCAACAACTTCAGATATGATTTTTTTATTTACGTCATTTAATTTTTTCATTTCTTCTATAATCTCTGAATTACCCTTTTCAAGTTCTTTATGAAACTGTTTCTCTTCAGATATGATTGTTTTATTTACATCATTTAATTTTTTCATTTCTTCTACCATCTCTGATTTACTCTGTTCTAATTTTTTATAAAACTGTTTCTCCACAGAGAATTTCTTCAAACAAGCGTCGCAGAAGAATTTTAAATTGTTAGCTGTTATGATGAATTCATAACTCTCATCAGACACTCCAGCAGGAAGAGGAAACAAGGAATCAATGGAAACACTGTAGAGTCAAATTTGAACCCTCTTTGGCAGATTTGTTGGTAGTTCTCTTGACTTTATCAACCTAATGTAGCAACTTTAAGTTCAATTAAGAACAAATCGTGTTCTACCTGACTGATTGTATAAGTAAACTTTCAAAACAACAATTTAACTCCACAGGCTGAGAGCGTACAATAAACAGGTGCTATCAACTACGCTGCAATTTAAACCCAAAAAAGTAATTTATTTAACCTATATAAATTAAATCAAATACTTAGAATTTCTATACTAAATAAATATATTAATATTCACTATTTTTTTCTTGAAACTTTTATATAACTTTAAGTCAAAATTCGCACAAGAACCACAGGAAAATTACAAAAAACAACAGAGAAAATTTTCCATCAACCGCACAGTCACGAAAAATATAATAATAATAATATATATATGAGTATATCACATTAACTATATTTTATTTATTATTTTTATGTGCTCTATATTTTTTATTATATATATATATATATATATATATATAATATGTTTCAATATTATATATAATATTACAACAATATTACTTCTATTTCATTAATAGTATTAATTCTATTAAGTTTTGGAATACCTCTAAGTTTGAACTAATTGGTCAAAAAATTTTATCCTTCTTTTTTTAATTACATTTTTAATATATAATAATATTATATATAATAAAAAACTATATGGAAAGCTCTTAAAAAAGTGATTTATCCTGACGACACTAAACTGTGTGCAAAGATCAATAATGAGAAGGGTGCAGAAGTACTAAAACAAGATGCGGCAAGATTATACAGGTCTGATGGGCAATTTTGCACATGAGTAAAAAAAACAAAGGCTTTAATTATCAATTGGGCAATAAGGAGCTACGATCAACGCAACAAGAAGAGGACCTTGGAGTCATCATCCATAAAAGCAAAAAAAAAATCGAGGCAATGTACAGTGGCTACGGCTAAAGGAAATCAAATACTTGGATTTGTTAAAAAAACAATGGTCAGCAGGGAGAAGTCGATCAGTCTAAATCTGATCTGCAAAAAGACAAGGACATTATGGAGAAAGTACAGCGGAAAGCAACAAAGAGGATCAAAGGACTTAAAAATCTTGAATAAAAAGATAGATTGAAAGAATGTGGATTAACAACACTGGAAACAAAAAGATGTAGAAAAGATCTGATACAGGCAGCACAATAAATTGATTACCAAGAAAGAAGAAACACCGTTTACCGGATTTTTTAACTGGAGAATAGAATAGGATTACGAGGCCAGAGATACAAGCTCTCCAAAAAATAAAAAGTGCCGTCCGGCGAAAATTATTCAGCAGTAGAGTGGTAAACACCTGGAATGATCTGAGGGATGAAACAGTCTTCGCGGAATCAATCAACAGTTTTAAGATCAAGCTCGGAAAGTTAGGATGTTTGGACACTTATCTTGCAGTGGTTCTCACACAGACTATAATCTACTGAACCACTTTAAACTCTGTTGTTATGTTATATTAAATGATCATAAAAACTTTAACAAAGAATGAGTATACGTTATATACATTTATCAATCAATCAATCAATCAATCAATCAATCAATTAGCTTATAAAGTGCTATTTCCGCGATGTTCAACAGCGCTTCTCAATGAATTTTGAAAACAAATGGGTCATGAGATCCGGTCTGAACTTCGCAAGTGATGGAGAAGTAGTCAGAGAAGAAGCTAGAAAGTTCCAGAGAAAAGGAGCAGAAAAAGCAGATTTGGCAAAAGAGTGTTTAACACGAGTTAAGAAAAAGCGAGAAGAAGACGATCGTAAACCGGGGCGTTTAGGTTCAATTAATATATCTGATAAATACTTAGGAAATAATTTAGATTGAGACTTATACATAAACGTGCAAATTTTAAAAATTATTCTATATTTTATAAGTAGCCAGTGCAAGAGAACAAGATATGGAGATATATGAGAAAAGAAAGGGACACGAGCAACTAGACGAGCAGCAGAGTTAAAAGCTTTACTTAAAGAATAGAGTATAAAGTCAGGAAGACCATAGTAGAGCGAGTTACAATAATCAATATAGATAAAACTAACAAAGTAACAAGAAGGAGAAGAGTAGGATCATCAAGAAAAGGCAAAAGTTTTTTTATTCTACGTAGATGAAAGTAAGAGCTTCTAGCAACACTATTAATCTGAGAAGAGAGAGACAGTAGAATCAAAGATAAAACCTAGACTACAAAACTTATGAGAGACATCAAGAGTTTTAGAATCAGGTAAGATAATAGGAGGAATATTAATAGAGTGTTTAGATTTACTAAAACAAATTAATTCAAACTTAGAAGGATTAAGTTTAAGACACATAGAGTCAGACCAGGCGATAATTGAAGAAAGACATAGAGGTAGATTATGAAGAACACTATTGAGATTAGATGGAGGAAAAAAAGAATCATCAGCATATAGTTGACTAGAGAAAGAAAAGTTATTAATAATAACACGAGGTAGTTCAGAAGTATAGAGTATAAATAGAAGAGGGCCAAGAATAGAACCCTGAGGTACCCCGAAAGTAAGAGTAGAGGAGTTAGAAGTAGAATTATTGAGAACAACAGAAGAAAAACGATTACAGAAATAAGAAGAAAACCATGATAGACAAGAATCAGTAATATTAAAAGAAAGATGTAGCAGTCTCAAGAGAATAGTATGATCAACAGTATCAAAAGCCGAGGAAAAGTCAAGAGCAAGAAGAAGAGTAAGATTACTATTGTCACTAAAGATATCATTGTGTATTTTGAGTAAAGAAGTTCCAGTACTGTGAGCAGGTCTGAAACCAGATTGAGATACAGGTAGCAGAGTTAAAGTTTAAATAGGATGAGAGTTGATTAAAAACTACATTTTCTATTATTTTAGAAATGAAAGTAATATTAGTTACAGGTCTATAATTAGATAAAGAGGTAGGATCTAAGGATGAGTTTTTGAAGTTCATAACTATCAAGTCGTCGCCCAATCTACATACCAGGAAAAGACTTTCATCACAAGGCACTTCAAACATATTAGCACATAAAAAATATACAATATTCTATAAATTCTACCGAATGTTTGGCGTTAATATGTTTGTAGTTTGTTTTTTCAATTTTTCTCACTAAAGTTTTTTGGTGAACGTTTAGTTTGTTAAAATTCCAAATAAAACTTATTTTCCAAATTCATGCTGCATATATGCATTTATAAATTCTTTCCGGCAGTAAGTTTAGTTCATTCTTGACACTGCAATCAACATCACAGTGATCCCATTGATTCAACAATTCAGTTTGTTAGTTGGACAAATCTAGAACTACCTTATTTTTAACTTCTAATTCTCGAGAGAGATGGAGCAGTCGCTGCTCGCGATCTTGTTCGTTTGTTAGATTACGTCGGTTGGTCGCAGAACTTCGAGTAAATGTTAGTAATAGACTATAATTTTTATAAAACTAAACGTTCACCAAAAAACTTTAGTGAGAAAAATTGAAAAAACGGACTACAAACATATTAACGCCAAACATTCGGTAGAATTTATAGAATATTGTAAAAATTATCGTCTATTACCAACATATATATATATATATATATATATATATATATATATATATATATATATATATATTTTGGGACGAGGTTTTCAGCTATGCAGATTTCATTGAATATTTTTGCCCACTTCACGTTAATTAACTTTTTAAAAATTGTATTTATTGAGACCTAGTGACATAATTTGGCTGGCCATATATGTATATATATCTTGGTTGCGACCATTTAATTAAAGATCACGTTTATTTTTATTTTTGGGTACAGGGTATTTTAAAAGAGATCGAAACTGGACAGCTTCACTCTCACTTAATCGAATGTTTAATTAGTAAAATCAAAATGTCGGACAACGATAGTAAGTTTGTTTAATAAATTTTTTTTCGACTTTTAAACATTTTTAATTAGAAATAAATATTTAGGTTTATTTTAGCATTTGTTTATAATACTTTATGTATACTTTTTTTAATTTAATTAATTAATTTATTTGTTTATTTTTATTTATTATATTTTATATATATGTTGACATAAAATTTATGTTTTTAATTAATGTTTACCCATTAATAATTAATTATGTTATAGATAAACTATTATAACAATTTAATTGTTTTATTTATTTATAACTTAATAATAATGTATAATTAATTAGGAATAATTATATTATTATAATATATAAAAAAATACAAGCATAAATAATATTGATTGAAAGAAGATTTACGTCATGCATCACAATCGGAAATTATCAATTTGGTTTTCTAGCGGGGAAATCAACAATTGATGCAATTCACATCCTTTGGCAACTGCAAGAGAAGTACTTCGCAAAGCATCAACAACTATCACACATTTTTGTAGACCTTGAAAAAGCATTTGATCGAGTTTCTCGTGAAGCAATCAGGTGGAGTCTACGTCGACAACTCATTCCAGAATATCTGGTTCGACTTGTGATGAAATGTATACGAATACTAAGACTCTCATCAGCACTACGGTTGGAAACACAGACATCGGCGATGGAATTTACCAAGGCTCGATTCTCAGTCCACTGTTATTTATAACTGTGATGGAAGAATTCACAAAACCGATACGCACTGGTGACATTTGGAATCTAGTATATGCTGATGATATCGATTTAACAGCCATGTCTGAGCAGAATGCCCCACAGATGTTTGAAGATTGGAACACCAGACTAGTCGATCATGGATTCAAAGTCAACATCAGCAAAACCAAAGCAATGAACACTGGTGAACCCTCCAATCTACAGCTACTGGACGATGGCCCTGTTCAGTTTGTAAAGCTGCTGTAGGTAACGATTCAATCAAGTGTCAGCAGTGTAACCAGTGGTGTCACAAACGTTGCTCAAAAATAATTGCTACTTTACCTAAAGTGTCCAATTTTGTTTGTCCTGCTTGCATCAATCAACAACAACAAATTCGAAATAGCACTGTTTTTGAAGCCATAAAAATAGAGAAAGTCACATCGTTTCAATATCTAGGGGATGTTCTGGATTGTTATGGAACAGCTGAAGCTGCCGTTCGAGCACGCATACGTGCAGCCTGGAATAAATGGCATCTCCTTGCCTCTATATTGATGCGGCGTGATATCCCACTACCACTACGATCAAGACTTTATAAATCTGTGATACGTCTGGTGTTGTTATATGGTGCAGAAACATGGCCAATGACAACCAAACTGGAACAACAACTTCAACGAACTGACATGAAAGTGCTCCGATGGATGCCACTAATTAGTCTGAAGGGCCACATCAAATCTACCGAAATCCTGCATCGTGCTGGTTTAGATGATATAAAAGACGAATGCCGGCAACACCGTCTGCGGTGGTTTGGTCATGTCAAACGAAATGGAAACAGTGCCATAACTTCTCTTGCAGATGTTGAAGTACCTGGCACACGTTCCAAAAGCCGTCCAAAGAAGTCCTGGTCGCAAACAATCGAGCAAGACATGAAAGCTCTAAATTTAAATGAAATGGATACAACTGATTGTCTAATTTGGCCCAAAAAGTTGATGGCAAACAACGTCCTACCTCGGGAAACCGGGTCTCTGGACGCAAAACGAAAATTGATTGGTTGATAAATAATATATAATTATAAGTCCTGGTTATGACATTAAACTGACCCTCACTGCCTTGTGAGTGATGTTGGATCATCAAAGGCTAGGCCCACCGCTTATAACTGTGGTTGCGTAAGGAAGGGCGTAAATAAAAGTAAAATAGATCCCTGTGGGGTATGTGACAGGAGAGTGAAGGCTAACTCGGTATTGTGTATAGGATGTCAGAAACGGGTGCATAAGAGATGTAGTGGTGTGAGGGGGGCACTGAAAAAGGTGGAAGGCACGTTCAAATATAAGAAGAGTGTTCATGGTGTGATTAATAGGACGGACTCAAGGACGGGGTTGAGTGGTGGTATTGAAAGAGTGGAAAGCTTTATTTATTTAGGGGTTAAGCTGAACGCGGATGGAGGATGTTTGAACGCTGTTACGACTAGAGTTCGTGTGGGATGGATGAAATTTAGGGAACTTGGTGGGGTATTGTGTGGAAAGAAATGGTCAGTGAAAATGAAAGGGAGGGTATATAAAGCTTGTGTGAGAGTAGCAATGGTATATGGTGGTGAAACTTGAGTGTTGAGGAGAGAGGAGGAAAGTGTACTGCAGAGGGCTGAAAGAGCTATGGTGAGGATGATGTGTGGGGTTAAAGTGAAGGATAGGAGGAGTAGTACAGAGCTGATGTCGAGGATGGGACTGAATGAGGACATTGTGACATTGATAAGGAGATCGAGATTGCGGTAGTATGGAGATGTGTTGAGAAGGGATGAAAGGGTCGGGATTAGGCGAGTGTTGGAGTTCGAGGTTGAAGGAGTGATAGGAAGAGGTCTTCCGCGACTGGGACGGAGAGAGCAGGTGGAGAAGGACAGGGTGAAAGCGGGGTTGCGTGATACTGAGGCGAGTGACAGATGTGAATGGCGTCGAGGGGTATTTCGGTTTCATCATAGGTAGCCAAGCGGCAACCCCCGATCTCGGGGAAAATGTCGTCTAAACGTGTGTTGTTTGTTGTATAATTACATATGATTATCATCATATGACATGTATATATTATAATTTATTTATAAATTTTTAATATAAATTATAATATAAAAATATGGAGTCAGAACGCTGCGACATGTTTAATTTAATAATGATACACACTAATGCAGATGAGAATTTTGACTTTGATGGAGACAATGAAGCGGAACCATGGCAAAAAGGAATTGATGATGAAGACAGTTTGCCTTCAAATCATGACTCTCCTGATCAATCAGTTATAAGTCGATCTGACAGTGAAAGCAGGCCTGAAAATGGAGAATATGATGAAAATTACAATAGGCATGAAAATTATGAGGACAATAAAAAAGAAAAAGTTGATGATGTTACTTTCAAAGACCACGATAGTGATGCTGAAAATAACAGCAGTAGTGACGATGAAATGTCAAACAGAAGAAAAGAAAATTTTATGTCTGAAAGTGATGATGAAATTGCAACAACTAAAGACAAAGGTTAATTTTATTTGTTTTGGTTGGGCTGATGGAATGTAAAATTAAAATTGGTAAAATTAAAAAATAGCAGATTAAAAGATATCTTTCAAAAGATCAGCAGAGCAAAAAGATTGAAGGCACTTAAGTTTAATATAACAATTTCTATTATGTTCTATTTTTTTCTTGATTAACTAGAACTTGTATGTTAAATTAACTGATAAGAAGTGTATTAACAAATTAAATGGAAACTGAGGATTATTTAAGTGCAATATAACTTGATTAAGGCCTCAGATTAAATTTTATTAATTCATATAGCAATGGACTAATTTCAGTGCATGAGAATATAGTCTGTAATGCTTGATGTTTTGATCGTAATGATGCTAAGCAAAATATTGAAACCCTATATAGCTAATTCTTCGGACTTGTTTGGAGATGCTGATGATATTAGCTCCAATGATGATGAGGAAGAAGAAAATAATGCAAACACTTCTAAATCGCCAATGGATTCACATGAGGGCATTGAACAGGATGCCAACATCGATGATCACATTCAGCCCAGAACTTCTCTGGTTAGTTCACTTGCTCAGTACTTTATTTTCTTTCAATATTTTCATATTGTTCATTTATAATTGAAAAATCAAATTGTTACAAGTGAATTTAAAATTTAAAGGATGGTGATGATAATACAAGCGGAGATGTAACTAGAAGAGATCACAATGATGAGGAACATCATTCAGGTAGTGAGGAGGAAGAAGCAGAGCCTCCTGAGGTGAGAATTGAGGCCGATCTACCAAAAATATCTGTAAATCTTGGTGATCAGATGCATTTTGTCAAGTTACCTAATTTTTTGAGTGTTGATCCAAGGTTGGTTTGTTTGTATGTGGCATTATTTTGTTTATTTACAGTTTATTAATTTAACCAAATGTTTATATTTAATAATTCTTTTTGAATGTTTTATTACTCCTAATATATTTATATTGAAATGATTTGAGGCCTAAAAAATTGCAACTTGATCACACTTTAGCTCACATTAATTTGTTTCTATTTATTGAAACAATTTATTTTACCTATTTTTGTTTTTGGTTTCTTTTAATATTGATATTGGTTATTGAGACTGCTTTCTAGGTCTGTACACTATCTTCAAACTTTCACGTTTCTCCTTTGCTTCAAGTTTTTCTAATTTTGCAAGCACTGCTAATGATAAATTGCAACCAACTTGATGCAAAAAATTGAAAACTGTCAATGATTTGCTGAACACAAATTATTTTATTTTGAAACATTCATTAATAATATTATCATCCTCAATTTTTAATCAATGGAAGTCATAATTTCTTGCAGACCTTTTGATGAGCAGCTGTATGAAGATGAAGTCGATGAAGAAGATCTCATGGATGAGGAAGGTAGAACTAGACTAAAACTGAAGGTACATATTTCATGTTCTATTGTTATTATCTCTATTATTCTTTTTATAGGCCAAATTTTAAGAGTTAAAACTAGTGTGATAAATTTTATTGAAAAATCTTTCTGTGCATTATTTTGTAAGTTTTCTTTTGCAGAAGGAAAAACAATTAAAATACTAAAATTAAATAATCGCTTTTAAATTTTTGTAGGTAGAAAACACAATTAGATGGCGGTTTGCAAAGGAACATAATGGTAGATTTTCTTTTGTCAATCAGTAATTATTTATTTATTAATATTAATGTTATATTCCATTATACATATATGTATATGACAGCAGTAGTATCCGATCCTAATTTATTTTGGCATCAAAGAAGGTTTCAAAAAGATTTGTGATCTGCAAAAATCCCAAAATGAAATAGTCTGTAACCAAGATAAGCTTACTGATGAACAAAGTTCTTTTCGTCGTGAGTTGGCTTCAATTGACGCAAAGTTAAGCGAAATGGCCAACACAATAGATGAATTTGATATGTCGGTAACCAATGTAAACATGCAAATTAAAGGTATTGAAGGGGCTTGAAAAAGAATTGGGCTGAAGGATCAATTGTAAAAGGATCAATTAACGAAGAAGTTAAATTGACTACAGTGGCTCTTTAACTCAATTAACGAATTGACTACAGTGGCTCTTTAACTCAATCTTCAATTCAATTAACGAAGAAGTTAAATTGACTACAGTGACAAATCTTTTAAAAACGATGTTGAAACAATCAACCGTGAGTGCAATGTTGTGTTATTTAGAAAAGGTACTGAATTGGCAAAAAAAGACAACCCACGTCAAATGTTGATTGAGTTTAAAAAAGTCCTGGGCATGGTGGTTTGGTAACATATTTTAGAAACCATTTTAAATGTGTAAAAGTTCCATCGCCACTGATAATTATATTTGAAGAGATATGTTTTAATTTGACGCTACTGAAGACTTCAGTAATTTTTCTTGTGATTTTATAGGTTAAGTTCTGTTCCACCTGCTAAATTTTTCGAAGAATTTATTTTAGGTTTAGAACAAATAACAGTAGTTAGATATTCCGTCAGATATATATGCAACACCCTTTGCTGATGTTTTTTCTGGTTTATAGGTTTATAGATTTATAGGTTTATAGATTTATAGGTTAAGTTCTGTTCCACCTGCTAAATTTTTCGAAGAATTTATTTTAGGTTTAGAACAAATAACAGTAGTTAGATATTCCGTCAGATATATATGCAACACCCTTTGCTGATGTTTTTTCTGGTTTTGATCTAGTCAATAGAATAAATCAGTCTAACCATGTGCTTGGTGATACCCTGGATTTGATTGCTACATCAGGTGGTTTTTTTGTTAGAAGATGTATTGGTGTATCCATCTGGTATTTTTTCAGATCATGGTTTAGTAACTGATCAATTTTTAATCAATCCGACTCCGGTCATTTTTCAAATCAAAAATCGTGTATCAGATCCTGGAAACGAGTGGATAAAAACGTCTGACTGACCTTTTTAGGTGCTCACCTATCTCGAAACATTATGGTCAGGATGATGTTGTTGAATTGGGTTTAAAATATTCAATAAGGAGCTTTTAAAAATAGCTGACGATATTGCTCCACTTCGTGAATTTCGATGGAAACATGTCACGACTGCACCATGGTTTGACAGTAACTGCAAAAAGGCTAAGCAAATGTGTCGAAAAAAAAATGAAGGTTCAGAATTACTAGTTGTTATAATAATAAAGTTTATTGGGTATTAGCAACGAAACAAAAGATTGTTACTCAGCGAAACGAAGGATTTTTTGTTTTTCAAAAAAAATTCCAAGTACTTATGGCAAACGATTAATAAATTATTATGAAAAGAGACAAGTGTTTAAAATTAAGATGGTTCAATGCATAGCGCCGATGATTTTAAAAAACTTTTTGCTGACAAGTTAAAAGTGACCGAAAAGTCGACTGAATGTTTTAATCTTCTAGTTATTTCTACTAATACCAAAAATATTATATTTCTATTCAAATCGTTTCCAGTGTTGACTGAAAAACAGATATCTAAAGTTGTTAATTCGTCACATACGAAGTCATGCTCACTGGACCCAATATCGACGCATCTATTCAAAGAATATACTGAGTGTTTTATTGTCTACTTAACAGATATAATTAACATTTGCCTGATGAAGGGTGTAATGCCACAAGTGTGCAAGCATCCGATTGTCACGCCAATTTTAGAGAAAACAGGATTAGATAAATCAGATCTGATAAACTATAGGCAAGTGTCAAATTTGTCTTTCGTATCTAAGATTATAGAACGTCCTGTTGAGCTGGTTCTGAATAATCATATTAATAAAAATAGTATTTGGCCTTTACATCAATCTAAATGAAGAAAGTTTCATATGACCGAAACGGCTCTGTTGGATATATTTTCTTATGTTTATTCAGCACTCAGCAGTAACAAAAAGTAACTTTGTTGACAGACCTGGACATGAGTTCGGCGTTCGATACTGTGAATCATAAAATCCTGTTGGACAGACCAAAATATTGTTATAGTTAAAATAAGATTGCGTTAATTTGGTTTGAATCATTTCTTACTGGTCGAACTCAGCTGATTTCTTACTATTATGGTCTCTTAGAACCAACGAAACATACGTCAGGGGTGTCTGTTCTTGGACCGATTCTCTTGAATTTGTACGTTGCAGTACGTTGTACTGGACTTACTGAATAAACGTGGTTATTATTGCCATGGGTACGCAGATAACATGCAGATTTGTATTTTATGTTTTCCGGATCAGATGCCTATTATATTTGAGAAACTGACAAAAACTTTATCTGATGGGTCAAAGTAGGTTAAAGTTATGAATCAGGCTAAGGCTGTAAAGAAACCTGACACCTAATTCGCATCAAAGTTCAATTTTACAACACCAAAGTTAATTTTTACAACGTCAAAGTTCATCTTGACAAAGTCAATATTTCCCTATATATACAGCAAGGAGCACTGATGATGATTCATTCGGAATCGAAATATGGCCTTATTTGCAGCATGAATTTGAAAAATAAGTTTATTTTGAATTTTAATAAACTAAACGTTCACCAAAAAACATTAGTGAGAAAAATCGAAAAAACGAACTACAAACATATTAACGCCAAACATTCGGTAGAATTTATAGAATATTGTAAATATATATATATATATATATATATATATATATAATCCGATCTCTAATGTATATATATAAATATATATATATATATATATATATATATATATATATATATATATATATATATATATATATTGGGCCCTCTTCTTTTCACAATTTTCATCAACGATTTCCATAATGTGACTACGCTATTTAAATGTATTATGTTCGCTGACGACACTAATATTTTCAACAGTTCTAAATCACTAATTGATGATTAATTGCTAATTAATATCGATCTCAAGAGAATTGAGGCTTGGTTTTCGGCCAACAAACTAATCATCAACATTGATAAATCATGCTATACAATTTTTGGTCCTGCAATACTTACCAATAATATTCAAGACTTTTCTCTTAAATTAAATCCTAATATTTTTAGAAAATGTAGCACAATTAATTTTTTAGGTGTATATATCAAAAGTAATCTGT